GGAACCAGGGCTTGAACTCAGGCCCTTGCGCTTGCCAGGGGAGCGCTTGTTCCACTAAGCCATCTCCCCGGCCCAAAAGAAGGCCTATTTCTTTTTTTTCTTTTTCTTTTTCTTTTTCTTTTTCTTTTTCTTTTTCTTTTTCTTTTTCTTTTTTTTGAGGAACTGGGGATTGAACTCAGGGTCTTGCGCTTGCCAGGGAAGCGCTTATTCCACTGAGCCATCTCCCTGGCTCTAAAAAGTAGAGAAAAAAATAATCTAAGAATTAACTGCTCCTTTCAATAGACAAGCAGAAATTATCAATGCAATTATCCAAGTTTTCCTGTGTATACACATATAAATTTCCTTTCCCTTCCTTCTTTCATCTTTTCCCTCATGCAAGATGTTCCTTTTCTTTAAATAGTTTTTTTTTCCATAATTTTATTGAGAAATAAATAACAGTGAGACAGTTTCAAATCAAATTGGTAGGACAGTTCCAATAATTAACACATTGTATACTGCCTTCCTAGTGATTATTCGTTGTACAAGAGGCAGACATGATATCAAATTTAGAAACACTATTAGAAAAAATCCCTCTATTCCTTAAATTAAGAGCATGTAGCTATATATCCTAACCATTTTGAATACACAGATGCAAAATGGACATTCATCTATATCCCTTTTTTTTGTTTAGTTTCATCATTTAAATATTATAGGTGTGTGAACTCAGCAAAATATTCCAAAACAGTCCAGTAGTCCATAATAGTATTGGGTCTTCCACTTGACTGGCAGTGTCAGAAGTGGTTGTCCTGAGTCCCCTACAGCTCAACATGACAGCATGGCTTTATTTCTTATACTTCGTTTTTATATTTTTCTGCTGGATGATTAAGAATAAGATAAAACAAGACCTATGTAACAAGAATTGTAGCTTTTGGATCTCATAAGATCAGTTAAATCCCCTCAGGATTTATCCTGAGACCCTGTACCTCAGATTGTAGATCCTTTGTCAGTGTCAGCCATGTGGATGAGTCACGGCCATTGCTTGGCCAATGTACTCTCTGTGAAAGCCTGACAGAATGTTTTCACTCCATGTGACTCTCCTTAGGCACACTCTACATCATCCATCACTTTCCTCTTTGGCCCTATAATCTCCTTGATCAGAAAATTTGGGACACAAGTGAGTTACATGACGTTACAGTACCAGTTCTCATATATGTCCTGAATCTTAATTGACCTTGGAAGGCTAGGGCCAAAATGTTGGGTTTCCTTGTGGCCCTCCTTTTTCTCTAATTTTTGGTCTGCAAACTTAGGTTGTTAACCCTCCAGAAGAGAAGCTTATTGTTATTACCATATAACCTAG